TTCTTCTTTCCTTTCCTTTGTTTTTCCTTTTTTTCGTTTTCATTTTTTTGTTGTTCTTCTTCGTGGTTTGATGATTTTTCTCAAATTCGGAAACCTTTCTTAAAATTGATATTTTTATCAAAATTGCTGATTTTTATATTCAATTCGATGAACTTCATTCAAATTTGTGGATTTGCTTTTGAAAATTCATGGAAATTTTCAATGTTAATGATTTTTTTTTAAATTCAATTACCTTTTTTTAAATGGAAGATTTTTTTATTTGATGAACTTATTTTAAATAGATGAAGTTCTTTTGAAAATTGGATAAACTGTTTTTCAAATTCATAATCTTTTTTGATTCCATGAACTTTTTTGAATTTGATGAACTCTTTTTCATAAATAGATCAACTTTTCTTTAAAAAATTCAAAAAATTCAAAAAATTCAAAAATCTAATAAATGGCGCGGATACAATGGTTCTTATAGATTTCCCATTCTTGTAAATCACTAGTGCTTAGCTTCTGTGCTGTAGTGGTTAGCAAAACAGTTGGTCTGTTTTAGCGGCATGAGGCGAGTTCGAGTCCTCGTCCACCCATTTTTTTGCCTGTAATTCTCGCGAATTAATTTTACTATGTTGCGCGTCATGGGCCGGCCCATGAGGTGGGGCGCCTGGGCGCCAGCTTCCTGTTCAGCGCGACAGCTATTTCTCGCTTTACGCGAGACCATCGTTTGCTCTCGCGTCGGAGTATACAGTGGTGGGCCGGCCCTTTGGAACGAACATAAAACAAGAAAACAAATACGGAATTAGGAGTGCGAGAGCGAGGGGATGCGATCCCAGGCTCCGGGCTAATAACCACACTGAAGGTTCTTTGGCAAAAATCATGGCGCCTTTTACTTGAGGCAACGTGGTCCTGTTTTCCCCACTGTTTTTTTTTCTTCTTCCGTTTTTCATCGTTTTTCTCCGTTTTTTCTCTGTTTTCAAATACAAGTTTTACAGGTTTTCGAAAAATGGGTTTTCATGTATACATTTTTAACTTTTCTTTGGAAGATCAATTTTTTTAATAGATGGTCAACATATTTTCTATAGACATTCAACATTTTTAAATACTCGTTCAACATTTTTCATATAGTTGTTAAATATTTTTATATACATGATCAACATTTTTTCAAATATTGTTTCAACATTTTACAAATACCGGTTCCACATTTTTCAAATACTTGGTCAACATTTTTATATAAATTATCAACATTTTCTAGATTCTTGTCCAACATTTTGCAATACCTGTTCAACATTTCCGAAATACATGTTCAACATTGTTTTCAAATGCTTTTTCAACATTTTTTTCAAATGCGTGTTCAACATTTTTTCAAATACTCGTTCCACATTTTGTAATACTTATTTGACATTTTTCAAATACTGGTTCAACATTTCCAAAACTTATTTCAACATTTTTATAAACAAATGTACAAAAAACGTGAAAAAAAAAACAGGAAACAGGCTGGTGTATCCCGTGCGCGTGGGCCGGCCCATGTGGCGTTTGCCTTCAGGGAGGTGTCGCCTCTGTCTCGCTGAATGTAAAAAAAAGTTATTCTAACATAAAAATAAATTGTTCATAGGAAAAATGTTTGCCATATATACCTAAAATATGTACAAAAAATACAAGGTGTCATATTTAAAAAATGATAAGATTGTATCAAAAAGTGTTCCTGGTGTGTACAAAAAATGTACAATATGTATAAAACATAGTACACATCAAAAAATATAGTATATATATGGGAAAAGGATCTTGGATTTCAAAAATGTTAAATGTGTATGGAAAACTTAGACTTTAAAAAATAAGTTCTCAAAAATGCAAACCATATGTTTGGAAAATGTTAAACATGTACGTAGAAATATCCCTGATGTATACAACAAATGTACAAAGTTTATGAAAATGTAAAAAGAACTCTAAGTTTCAGAAAATGTTAATTATGTATTTGGAAAAGGTTAAACGTGTATAAAAATATGTTTCTGATGTACACAAGAAATATACAAATGTGTATGAAAAAATTAGATATCAAAACATATGTTTGAAAAAAAATGATCATGTTTAAAAAAAATTGTGCTGCTAAAAATGTATATTTCCATAGAAAAAATGTTCAGCGTGTGTTCGAGAGAATGTTGACCATGTATTCTAGTAAGTGTTCGTAACATATTTTTTAAGAAAAAATGCACATCATGTATTTGAGAAATATACAACGTGTATCAAAAACAGGTTCCATGTGTACACGGAAAATGTACAGTCTGCACTGAAAAACATTAGGCAAGTTTTGATGAAAAACAAAAAAAATGATGAAAATTGACAAAGGAACCTAAAGAAAACAAAGAAACCCATAGAAAAACCAAAAACAACCTATGGTATAATGAATAAACAATGCGCATAAGAAACAAAAGAAACCAAAAAAAGAAAGCAGAAGAAAAGATGGTGCAGGAAAGAAAAGGAAACAAATAAAACCAAAACCGAAAGAAAACCGAGTAAAGCAACAAAAATAAAGAAGAAAAAATGATAGAACAGAAAAAACATGAACACCAAGAAAGAAATCAAGAAAAATGGTTGAGAAAAAGAAATAGCAAAACCCAAGAAAAACCATTGAAGAAACAAAAAAAACCAAGTTAAGAACAAAAACACGAAAAAAGAAAGAAGAAATCAAAGAGACCTGAGTGAATGGGAGCACCTCGATCAAAGCCAGATCGAACAAAAAAACGACAGAACTGCGCTGGTCCAATGGCTACCGTGGCGAAAA